TTTAGTTCTAATCCCCATCATGGTCAGGAAAATATTCAACTAAACCAAGTTGCTCAGAGCTCCATCCAACCTGGCCTTGAAAACTTCTAGGGATGGGGCGTCCATACCATCTCTGGGTAACCTGGTGCCTCACCACCATCATAGTAAGGAATTTCCTCCTAATAACTAATCTAAATCTACCTTCTCTCAATTTGAAGCCATTATCCCTTGTCCTATCACTATATGTCCTTATAAAAAGTCCCTCTCCAGGTCTCTTGTAGGCTCTCTTTAGGTACTGGAAGGCTGCAATTAGGTCACCCCAAAATCTTTGCTAGGCTGAATAAACTCGTATTCTCTCAGCCTTTCTTCACAGAAATCCTCCAGCTGTTTGATTGACTTAGTAGCCCTCCTCTGGACTCATCCAGCCATTCCACGTCCTTCCTGTGCTGGGCCCCCCAGCTGGGTGCAKTGTTCCAGGTGGGGTCTCAGCAGAGCAGAGCAGAGCAGAGGGGCACAATCCCCTCMCTCCCCTGCTGCCCACGCTGCTTTGGATGCAGCCCAGGACACGTTTGGCTCTCTGGGCTGGCAGTGCCATGGCYGGGTCATGTCCAGCCTCTCACCCACAGCAYCCCCWAMTCCTTCCCACAGGGCTGCTCTGGGGTAGTACTGGGGGTTGCCCTGACCGAGGTGCAGCATCTTGAACTTAGTCTTGTTAAACCTCATGAGATTCCCATGGGCTCACTTCTTGAGCCTGTCCAGGTCCCTCTGGATGGCATCCTGTCCTTCAGAAGTGTCAACAGCATCACTCAGCCTGTTGTCATCTGCAAACTTGATCCCTCTATGTCATTCATCAATACAGACCCTTGAGGGACACCACTTGTCACTAATGTCCCTTGGGACTCTGAGCTCTTGGCCATTATTCTTTGGATGCAACAGTCCAACCGCTTGTTTAAGTATCTAGCAGTTGACCCATCAAATCTATCTCTCTCCAGTTTAGAGAAGGATGCTGTGGAAACCATGCCAAAGACTTTATAGAAGTACTGATAAATGTTATCTGTAGCCCTTCCCTTGTCCACTGGTGGAATCAMGCCATCATGGAGTGCCACTAGGCATTCAAGACAGGACTTGAAGTTTAAATTATTCTTCCTCCAGATCTTTGGGTTCAAATGTCATGTTTTCCCTACCACTAGTTGAACACTGAAATCCTTATGTACTCCTATGTCCAGGGAAACATGGCTTTTACAAAAGCATGAAGCAATGTAAGACTCAAAAAAGTACAGCAGAGCTCATGACAGCGCACCCTGCACCTTTGTTGGCTGCTGCACATCTTTGTTTGATGGATTAAATGGATGATGCTTAAATGGACTGAGCCCCACTGAGTTACTCAGCTCGTGAGATAGTACCAGCAGCACACAGGGTACCTTGTGAGAAGACATGATTTGCAACTGATCCTACCTGCAGTCAATCTCAAGGGGGAACCATCAAGGTCATCTCTGTCCTTCCCAAGGGGCAGAAGTCCTTCTGGGGAGGGACTGGGAATGCACTGAAGATGACCCAGTGCACAAGGTTCACAGGTGTTCAGCACAAAGGCGCTGACCTGCAACCCTGATCTCTTACGGAAAAACATGAAAGGGAATCATGAACTGTTCTTTGATACCTCTTCCTCTGACTTTTGTATATTGGATTCTGGACATCACAGGAAACCTTGCTGTTGTTTGGATCAGATTTTCTAGTTCAACATCAAAAATCTGTAAGGCTTTTTCCTGAAGATTATATTGGTTACACAGTCAAGAAATGTCTTTTGTCATGCCTTTTTACCATAGTTGTCTGATGACAATAACCTGATGGTAATCAGATGAACCTTGTGGGCTCTTCAGAGCCTGACAATGACTTCCCAATCCAGGAACATGCCTCTGTCTCTGGGGTGTGACTTGTGTCTARCAATATTGCAGGCATGTTCTGCAAAAATGCTCCCCAGGGTTTTGAATTAAATTTTGCTTGTATATAGAGAGGAAGGTGCTCAGTCAGGAGAATAAAGTCAGGASAATGCTTTTCTCCTGACTTTAACTACAACGTAGTCACAAGGTCTTTATGACTTTTCCTGTCTCAGCCTAATTTCTTTGTTGTGAAAGTGCTCACATTTATGTGCCTGAGGTGATAACTAGGCAGCAAAAACTAAATTCCACCTGTTGGGTTACAACTATTTAGCTCCTGGAATTAAAAGATCAACAGGCTATTTTGCATTGTGGTTACAAAATTGAGAAAGGACTGAATTCCCTGGTGCTTGAGATCCTCAGTGCATATGTACCCAAAACAGGCTTTCTAGAAGTGCTGAGCCTCAAAAGCTATTAAGCCATTTTAAAGTAATGGTCCACAATACACCAAAATAAAACATTTCTGTGGCAGAAAAAATCATGGAGTAGTAAGACTTCTGGGCTCACAAACCAGACTAGCTAGCACACTGGCCTGAAGACTGCTCAAGGGAAGATACCATTTCAACTCAAATGTTGATGTTTAGAGAAAGGATGGGTGGGTTTAGCTACTTCAAGGTAATGTGAGGGGTTTTTTTTATTGTATGTCCAACTTAAGTATCTGTTATTTTATGAGTCTCTAACTTCATAGAAGAATTGAGTTACATGGACACCAGAAAGATACTAACACTTTTTCCATTAATGTTAATCCTATTACGCAGTAAGATGGGCTGCCTGCTATTTTGGACTCGCTAGGAGTGCAGAGCAAATTCTAAGTGCCTTTCTAAGTAATCCTCTCTGTGCTAATAATGTGATTGATATGTTCTGGGCTGTTTTGTTTATGAGACACATGTACTATCAGAAATACAAAAGACTGTCAGAGGGAGTGGTAAAATTACCTTRGAATTACAGTCCTTCAAAATTCTAATAGTAAATGTGACTCCTCATTGCTTCAGAAATGGTTTGGGCGTGATAAAGCTTTATGTGAACATTTTAAGTGCATATAAAAGACAGAATCTAAATGAGGGGGAAAGGGTGCAGCTCCATCTTTTTTTTTTTTGGCTTAGGGTGTCCAGGACATGATAGGGCATGTCCTGCTGTTTTTATACTGATARATGCGAACCTGAAACTTAAGTCTTCAAAATTCAGGGGAGGGTGGGGTGAGGGGAAGAGGAATGCTTCTAGAGATAAGCAGAAGACGTATTTCCAGTGCAACAATTAAAGCTGTTGAATGTGATAAATTTAATGTAACCCCAAAAGTTATCACAGTCCAAGTGCAGACACTGATCAGTGAGCAGCCAATAATTAAAGGAGTTGTCACATCCCTCCTTGGCCAGAGGAGCTGATGGCACTCCTGTTAGAAGGAGCTTGCTAGTGCAGGGAGTAAATGTGAAGCAGACCCAGGCAGCCACTGCCTCTCCCCCCTCACCCTCCCACTTCTCCCTCTGCATGGCTCAGCACTGCTTCCAGGTACTGGCAGCAGCGCCAAGCTCTACTGCAGCTGCCAAACGAAGGGGCAGGGATGAGCTTGGGGGCTAGAAATGAGAAACAAGTCAAATCTTAATCCAACTGTGATGCACGGGATGTTGGCTGCTTCCTGGAAGACAGGGATAAAGCATGTCTGCTTTGTAGCTGAGGGGTGTCCGCATTTTCAGCTACAGCTCTCTCCAGGCAAAGGAGATGGTTTTCTTGTGCCTGGAGGGCTGAGTAGCCATGAATAGCAATGACTTTTTTTTTTTCTTCCTACTGCCCAACAGATTGCCGCCACAGCTTTTAAGTGCCGACACTGAGTTTCATCAGCAGGGCAGTTATCACCTGGAGATGCAATATCACAGTCACTCCACATGAGCCCCAYCTTAAATCACTCTGAAAGCTGAAGCTGGGGCAGGATATGGCAGCTCCGTGCTAAGCTGGGTATTTTTCTGCATGCATATGACAGCATAGCATGCTTCTGGTTTCAGGGTGGAGTTTGAAATGTGGCTTCTGACCAGTAAGGACTTTGTACCTGTTGTCACTGATCTGCTAAATAAATACTCARCAGAGAGGGCTTTTGGTTTAGTAGGGGTAAGCTCAAAGTCGGTGTCTGCCCTCAACTTTGCACCTCTCACACCTCTTGCATACGAACCAGCAGAGCTCAAATCTATTACCCCAAAAGCAGGGCTCAAAATTCTTGTACTCCTGARATGTGGAGTGGGGTACGGAGGAAAGCAAGTCAGGGAGGTTCATCCTGATGGCAGGAGCAATGCTCCTGCGTCATTCTTTTAATTGAAATGCTTGGCACTGTTTTAGCATATACATTTAGTTGATTTGGTAGCAAAAAGGACTCCACTTAAAATATGTGCCTGAACACTCCAGAAAGGCACCTCTTTCCATCTGTCCTATACAAGACAATAAGTAAATGATCCAAACAAATTCAGGTCCTGCCATTCCAGGCAGCGGAAGAAGCAGAAATCAAAAGTTGACTCTGCACTAAAATTACTTTTTGTTTTTGGTTTTTTGGGTTTTTTTTGTTGGTTGTTTTTTTTTTTTTTGTACTGCAATTGCAAAAAAAAAAAACCTTCCCTATTGTCATCTAATAGGTTTGAAAGCTATTTTACACATGCAGCAACTGAGCCAATTGTTTCATTTTATCCATCTGTGAATGCTTTTTAAAAAATATTGTCTGATAGGACAATACTATGGTGACATAATTCAGAAAGTTCTCATCACAGACAAGTGCTTTTTGTTGYTTAGTTTGCAATGGAGTCATTGTAGATACAATTAGATGTGTTTGTCCTTTTAAAATAGACAAAATACATAGCCTTTAGCTACTAGCAGAGATTCCTAGCTATTCAGGTAGCTCACATAGCGCTCACAGCTAGTTAAGGAAATAAAGGTGATTGAAGTGAGAAACTGATGGAAAAAGCCCAGCTGAAGGACCCCTTCAGGAGGAAGAAGATGCTGGGTGTTTTCAGGAACTCTTGTGAAGGACCTTTGATTGAGAGGGTCTCCTGTTTAGTAAGCACCAGTATGAAAACAATAATGACTTACAGAAAAGGCCAAATACAGAGGTAACATCTTCTCTAAACTTTTATTGTGGTGTAAAAACAATTCCAGGTACATTTCCTGTAAAGCAAAATCAAASTTTTCATAGATATCATTTGAAAAAGGCATTTATCGATTCAGATCTAATCACTTACAGTGTTCACTAGTTATATAAGCTCATAATGGATTTATCAGTATAATGTTTTTTTTTTCCTAAAAAAGAAACAGGTAAGTTTTTAGGGAAGCAGAGAAACAATGTCTGAACTTTTCACCTWATACTTCATCATAGCAAAACAAGCATCAAAATGCATGGGGGTATGGGATGATCCTGAGAAAGTAGGTTTTAGTTCTGAAACAGTGAGCTGCAAGTGCCCTGGGAGTTTAAGCACGTKACTTTCCATTATCAGAAAGCTTTTGCAGTGGTGCATTTTTCTCTGTGTGTGGGAGCTCCACACCTGTAATAATCTGAAAGGAAGCATGATCTCCTCCCTAACGTAGCAGACAAATGCATCAGGCTGTGTGGTGCCCGAAGGATTAGCATCCTGCTATTCATTTGGGCCTTTTTGGAGTGACAGGTAGACTCTGCTTTGGCTCTAGTGCTTTGGCAGACATGCTCTAGATATTACTCACCATACAGCATTGTCAGGATGTCAGATTAGAGCACACCCAACCTGCAGATAAAGCCATATTTCTTTGCTGCCTGTAACTCCTTCCGGTATCTCACTTTTTGTCCTAAGATAAAATAAAAATAAAAGCATAATTGCTACCTTTTTTTCTAATTATTAAAACTGTGYTTACAAGGCACTGTGAGTCCCTTTCCTTCATGGTATCTGTTTTATTGTCTGATCAACAATACATGAACTTTCTAACTCTAGGGGTTTACAAAAGATGGATTTCCCTGTTAGTTTTCACATATGACAAAATTCCTTTTGCTGGTGCCAGTATTAAATGACAAGCGGGTGTAGTTTGTTACAATAACAGGGTATTCAGAGCCTCAGGCACAAAACTGACATGCKAACACCCAGCTTGTGCCAATACCAAAGGATCAAGATGATAAAAACAAAGTTTCTATCTGAAAATGGTGTTTTAGGAAGGGAAATCTTTTTGCAAGAGTTATTTTGGAGGTTTTGACTATTACTTTTGCAGCTATGCTGGTGAAATTATGGATTTCACAGGTGAACTGTTAAATGAGTGGAAAACTGGATGGGCTGTCAGGTTCAAGGATAGAGGTCCATCAGTCAAAGAGTAGCTGGCAGATAGTTATATGCGCCATTTATCAGGGGTTAATCTCAGGCCAATACTTTTAAAATCTTTATCAACAGCCTAGAAAATGGGATGTAGGGAATTAGGGATTGTCCCACACTGGGGGAGCAGCTGGAGGGGAACACAGCCCTTCAGAGAGGCCTCAATAGGCTGCAGAAATGGGGTGCCATGAACCTCCTGGAGCACAGCCTGAGCAAAGGTTGTGTCGTGCCCCTGGCTGGGAGGAGCCTARCAGTGGTGCAGAATGAGGCCCTTGGTCTGCACAGAAGGGCTGCAATCCTGGTGGACAGCAAGGAATGTCAGCCGTGACCTTGGTGGCTGACCAGGGACTGGGTGGTCCTTGAAAATCAGTGGAGGGAAGTGTCCCTCCACTGCTCAATGGCACTGATCATGTAGCATCCCAAATTGAGTGCAATCCCTGAGAATTTCTGAGAATACAGAGATGAAACCATCACACAAGCAGGGACAGTCCTTGTATGGGATCCCTTGGTGGGATGTCCATCGTTGGAAATAACCTGATCTCGCTTTCTGGTCAGCCATGCTTGGAGCAGATTGTTGGARTAGGGACCTCTGAAGATGCCTTCCAAATTGAATTTAGTTGAATTCCTTTAGKTGCATTTCACAGGACTCTTCTAGCAGGCCTAAAGTTGAGATGGAAAATTTGTTTTGATTGAATGCAGTTTCTTGTACCATGCCCAGAAGGCCTATGCTGAGATTAGGTGGTGTCTTACACCGTRTTCCCTGACAACAAGAGGATGGCAACAAGAGCCCAGAACAGGCTTCTGTCTTGCCTCTTTCTGATACCTCATGAAACCCAAACCAAGGAGAGATTGTGCTGAAGGAAGCAGAATGCTGAGGCAAAACTATCCGCCTGTATCAACACATGTATGCTAGGGACTGCATGAGACCTGCCCAAAGAACAGTTTACAATCACCAACCAAGAGGGGCTGCAAGAGACTCAATGAAAAAATTGATACCTCTTGTCCCTCATCCACCCTGCCATCCCAAGTGATTCTGAACAGATTGCTTGGGAATAGAACTCTCCGTGCCCATGAACACGCATTTGAGAGTGTGTAGGGGAAAATCTATGAATGACTACGAGTGAGTAAAACCYCCTGCTTAGAATTAATGTGGCTTTCTTGGTCCATAAAAGCTGAGGAAGACCATCAGGCTGCGGAGGTACTGAGAAGACCTACTCCCAAGAAATCACAAAGCATCAGTAAACATGAACTAGGGATTCCTTTTGTGTGCATCTGAAGATTGTGATAATAGAGATCAACAGGAGGGCAATAATGCAAAACTTGATTTGTAGCACTTCTCTAACCTGACATGAAACAAACCTGAAACACACATTGATAGTAGACCTGACCTTTCCTCCCCTTCTACCGGGAACAAATGGAACATTGTCTATTTCAGTTGTTCTCCTGTGTAGCTACATAAAGTTGTAGAAAATGGTTTATCAGGGCAATATCTGAAAGGAGTGAATGGAAAGCACACATGCCCATTTGAAAGACACTGTTGCAGACTGAGTAATCCTGTTGGGCTGCTGATTTATATTTAGCTCCTCAATTAAGAACGAGTCCTACACTTGGTACTGACATGAGAGTGAGCCCCAGGGTCACGTAAATAATCCTCAGGATTACTCAGAAATTATTTTTTAAGGCATGATTAACACATGACTGGGAGCTGCAGGCTGTACACTCAGAATCATGGAAACATTCAGGTGGGGAGGCACATCTGAAGGTCTTTGTTCCCATCCCCCTTTTCAAGCTCAACTGCCTTCAAAGCAAGGTCAGCTTGGTCAGGGCCTTGACCGGCTAAATTTTGAACATGTCCAGCAGTGGTCATCCCACCATCTCTTTTAGCCCTGTCCCAGGGCTTYACCACTGTTGTTTTACTACTTATGGGCAAACAGAATTTCCATGCTGCAATRTGTCCCTTATGACAAGGATCAAAACAAGAATTTTTACAACAAGATTTCCCTTGGGTTACCTTCCCTTCTGAAAGGTTGGTAACTGTCTGTCAGTGGACATCTGCAATTAGATCTTTCCTGAGATATCCTTTCTCCATGCTAACAAAGCCTGATTCCCTCCATCTCTCKTCTCCCTGCATCAGATGCACCATCTCTGTGGCATGCTACTTTTCTGTTGCACGTCCTGCTCTATCATTTATTAGTTTGGCTTCTTTTCTCTCTTTTTTTTTTTCCCTCTATTTTCTTTTTACTAACAAAATACTCTTGCGTACATTTCTTTAATAAGCATTTACCACTGGAGTCATGATGCTCTGGCTCCAAGTACTGATCAGCTGCACAGAAATCTGCTTTGCTCAGGCACATGACTGCTTGCAGTATTGCCATTTGCTTTCCAGTATAGGTATGAGCTTCAGACAGTAACTGTTGAGCAATGCTGCAAAATCTGTTGAGCAATGCTGCAAAATCTGCTGAGCAATGCCGCAACATCTGTGGGCCAGATCTATCCCAAGGGCTACTCCAGCCAGCTAATAGCACAAAAATCATATCAGGTATGAATTCACATTATCATTTGAACACAAGTATACACAGGCTCTCTCTGYGATGCTCTGAATTGCGTTAATACAACTTTATGTCTGAGGAATGAAATACACTGAGTTGCTGAGAGAGGAAAATATTTGTATCAGTTTTTTTAAATTTTACTGAAACTTCTGACTTTGAATGCAGCACATTCACTGCTCACAAATTCACTAGCTGGGGTATGGGTAAATTTAGCCTGTTGCACTGATTTCAGGTCTCTCACTCAATATTTTAAATCTTCTCATCACACTGCAGTCACATCCTCCCACCCAGCACACTGCCAAATTATTTACTCCTGCTGAACACAGCATCTTTCAGCCTGTTATGCTCAGGGGATGGTGACCAGACCTCTGTGAGACACCATGGGGTTGTGCTTTCTGTGAAGCTCTGACAGGACCAGTCCAGGCTGCAGGGGAAATGGTTTGCCCTTCACGGCCACCTCTGCAACTTCCAGCTTAGCCTGATGGCCTCTCAGAGACATGCAGCTTAAGTTCAAGACCTAAAATACCTGCTCCCACAGGCAGGGCAGCCCACWGTTTGACCTTGGGTTAAAAAGTAGTTTTTTGCAGATGTCAGCTCTACTTCATGTGAAAGAACAACCCTGAAGCAAGGTGTAAGGAGTAAGGTCAAGTACACATTAAAAATATACATCTACAAGCATTTCTGATATGTCTCTGTGGTGCTGAGGAGCATGCAGGGTTGCTGGTTAACCTGGAATTTACAGGAATCATACAGAAGTCAGTGTCAGAAACCCGGGGCTAGCCTGGCTGAACCCCCAGGAATGCTCCAGAATTCATTCCTCAGCTCTACTTGTTWAGGCAAACCAGACAAAAAGTACCTGATTTAGTCTGAAGAGGGAAGCTGGAGTACAAGGTAAACATGTATGGGCAGCACTCCTGAGCAGCTTGACTTTCAAGTTTTCTGAGAGCAGTCATGCCCACAGAGTCAGTAATGAGAAGGAATTTGTTTGCTGAAAGATCTCTGAGGCTCTGTGCCTCTTTTCAAGGTGGGGGCATTCAGACAATTGATGAACAAAGCATTTTCTGTCTGGRACAGTAAATATTTAACTGGAAAGTTTAGAAAAATCCATGTTTTTGAGCTTTCAAGACCTTTTCAAAGAAACTATCTTTYCCGCAGTCACAAAACAAAAACCACAGAAAAGAAGATGGTGTGTAGGAAACAAGGAAGTCAGAAAAGCTGTGTCTCTCTGTAGTGYGTTGTAGTCCTGCATCCCTTTCTCTGCAGCATGTGCAAGAAAACTGCAGCAACTGCCTCTGATGTCCACAACGCTCTGCAGAGCATCTCTGCATCCCTATTCGATTTTATTCCAGCACCTCCAAAATCGCTTTTTTCACATTAGATCTAATCACTGCATGTTCAGTGCTTTTCTTTCCTTGGACAGTCAAGCAACACAAAATGTGGCCTGAATAAAAAAGTGATGGGAAAGGCAAGATTTTTACATGAAAACGTCTTCTCAGGTTTTTCCACTGATTTGGCTGGCAGCTTTTGGACACGAATCTGGCATCAGCAAGTACCTGGAACTTTTTTACATTCAATCTTTAGTACCCTGGTACTTAGGCTGCCAGAATGCATCAGGAATTTGTTGGCTSTTTATTATAGCATCTTGGCTTGGAGAACCATGGCCTTAAGAGGCCTGATCCATGTGGGAGTGGGGGTCTCCAATGATTTCAGCAGAAATTAGTTGTTCTCAAGCTTTGAAACCAGCTAAGTCCTCCCATTCACAAACTAGGTTATGTTTTGTGGCTCATCCTGGAAAAGTAGCTGCAGTTTGAACAGTTGTTCCGTGGCTCAAAGCTSTGTCTCACATTGCATCCTACTGTGTCACAGACACAAGCTGTGTGTGATTAGGGCCACAGCACATTCTGCAGTCAAGCACATTGGAAAGGAGAATTCCCCACGGAATTCTCTGTGTGTTACTCCACTCCAGTCGACTCAAGGGCCTTCAMCTCTCTAGCAGGATGCATCTGATGTCGCCGGCGAAATGCCTGCCCAGCYAGCTATGACAAGGAGGCTTGAATCCACACTTAACCACTCAACAGCTCAGCAAGTGGAGACTGGAAAGARGATCTGCTGGAGACCGAGTGCTCTTAGCATGGTAATGCAGCCTGCTGCCCTGACAGAATGCGTCTCTTCAGAGCTAAGCACCAGCAAGAGGGGTTTGAGAAGSACAGAAATAAAGGACCCAAGAGATCCACTGGGAGCTTAAGTGGGCTTTCTCTTGGGATTACCATTTCTCTGCAGCACATTTCCGTTGATCTTGATGGTGGAGTGTTGGCTGGGTCTCTGGGCTGTTTCTTCAGGGTGGTTCATGTTCTTGTTGAAAGKGGTCAGAAGCAATTTCCTTGCTCTTGGGTGACCCATGACTGGAGAGGCATTTGGGAGATAACTACACAAGGAATAGCTGGCAAAAAAAAATTATGTCTGAGAGGGCATGCGCAGCTTAATAAACTGTAAGGGGAAGAAGAGGAGGGTGCTGGGCTTGTGAAACCATCTACAGGAGAAGGTCAAGAGTGTRTCAAGCTGCTGTCATTCACCCCACTGTCCCACAGGGTTACACTGGAGAGAGGGACACCGACTATTCTCAGGGTCTGCAGGGAAAAGACAAGAAGCAATAGACACATGTTGCAACAGGAAAAATTCTGTTTGGACATGTGAAAGAAACCCTCTTTTTATGAGGATAGTGCAGGACTGGGACACGCACCAGAGAGGTGGTGAGATYTCTGTCTTTGGAGGTTGTGCAGACAGACAGGGTAAGACCCTGGGCAACGTGACCCAGCTTTCTTGATCACTGCTTTGATCGGGTAGTTGAGCTTAAGACCATCAGATGTAAACCCTTCTGCAAGTCTTCAAGAACCTCTGCAGTGATCCTTCTGAGGCATCTCCCAATCCCACGAGTGGCAACAAAATGTTGCACAGGTGCCTACAGGAAGATAGAACCTGGACCTTGGGGAGATGTAGGGATGTGGGTGTGCACATGCCTCCTGCTGGGAAGGAAGTGCCTCACAATCCTCCTCTGCTGTCCTTCCCGCCACCCCCCTGATGACTGTTAGAAAAGCCTCAGCAAGCAAAGYTAAACCTTTCACCACAGGTTGCTTTGTGGTCATATGTAAAAAAATTATGTCACACGTGCTAGTGGCGTTAGAGCTGTGTGTAGCAAAGTCTGTCACATCACTGATCCTTGGAGGAGCAGCCGTGACACAGCCAAAATAGTGTTAGATGTCAGCTGCTCGTGATTTTTCCATGCTCTGCAGCAGGTAAGAAGAGGCATGAGGAACACAGAAACAGGCACTCTGCAGAGCAGGAAAGGCAGCAGTGAGCTGCTGAGCGGGGCTCAGCTGGAAGTTTCCATTGACTTGGAAATGATCCACTGAGCTTGCAGCAGGATGCTGCATGCTAGGCTGCATAGGGAATGAAAATCAGGAAACCTAGGCAGGTTTTGTCTCTGCTGCACAGAGCACAGATAGAAGCTGTTGTCCAGGCTAACTGGCTGAATATGAAACCTTGTGGTAGGTGTGTGCTTGTGCTCCACCACTATTTAATAAGGCCTTAAGCCCACAGASTACTTCAGAACAGAGATGCCTCCTCCTGGGCTTATATGGTATGAGAGGCACTAGCAGAGGGGCCCGGCTTTCCCTGCCTCCTCAATAGGGAACTGGGTGCAATCCATTTTCCTGCAAGAGAAACCCAGATGGGAAAAAGATAAGGCTTTAGCARCAGATTGGCCAGCAATGGCATCGCCATGCACCTCGGGAAGGGTGGGGGTAAACAGGCAAGTGACAGATGAAGCATGGCTGAGATGACATAGGTAGGCTCTGGAGGCTTATGGAGATGGTCTGGAGGTAATGAGGGCTGTCACTGGCAGCATATTTCTCAATTTCGTCTTTTATGCCTATGAGTCACCAGCAAGCTGGAGGAACAGCTCAGGCAGGAATCCCCCCACGCAGAATTGTGTTTGAGCCATCCTTGTGAAACTGCAGAGCACAGCACCACTGGGGTGTTATCTGGCAGTACCTAGCTGCAGCTAGTTCAGTCCACTGGGAAGTGTCTTTCCTTGAGTATGTAAGACTGAAATCGAGCTTCAGTGGAAGACTTTTTTTTTTTTTTTAAATTGATGTTTAAACATCTGTCTTTCAATTATAAATGGTTTTTAACAAATCCTGCACAAAATTTCTCAGCTATTTTTAACACCCTCCCACCTGAAGTTTATCACCTTTTAACAAAGGATTTGCCATTTTTGAGAGGAACTCCCCTCTTAATGAAGTGACGGATTGCTCCTCTTCTCCCTGAGCCTTTCCTAGACCTCTCGGAATGTCTGTTCCACCTCTTTTCTTGGGAGAGAAGCCAGGCAAAGCTGCAGGATGTTAGACTGAAACGTATTCTAATCTCAGCCACATGAGACAGACACCGGAGGGAAGGAGTTTGAGGATAATTTTGTGGTTTTCTGGGGACAGCAGACCTAAGTGATACAATAACACTGGAAGAGAATGGGCATCTGAAGACCTTGCCAGGGAGGCTCACCACATGCTCTTCTGCAGCAGTCTGTCCTGGTAGATAGCACCCAGGCATCCAGTGCCTTGCTTGGGTGTGTGCTGGAAGCACCCAGCTAGCATTTCTTGTTTGCAACAACACTGACAAAAATCAGATTTTAGGACCGTTGATGTTATGCTGGCTTCAGTCTCAGGGAAATTAAAGTCAAAAGTCTTTAGGGTGCCATGGCCCAGAGGAGACAAAGGAAGTGGACAACAGAGAGGACATAATGAGTAACAAGTTCTCTCCTAAAGTGTAGTAACTCCAAGCTCTCCTCACCTGTTTTCCCATCGTCCTCGGGGTTGTTATATCCCAGGCTGCTGCTCTGGCTGGTCATTGCAGATTTGCTGCCAGTTTCTCTTAGTCGGCTCTCGGCACAGCGGCACACACAGAATAATCCTCCTTGCTACAAAGTCTGTRTCAAACAGATTGTTTCACTTATTTTCTTTTTAAATTTAAGGAATTCGCACCCAAGGCAAATTTAGAGTGATGACCCATCTACGAGCACCTCAGTACATTAGCTGTCTTTCACTTTTGCCTGGCATCACAAGCACAAGCTGCCTTCCGCTCCCCAGGATTTTCCCCTCACAACCAAAACGCACCAGAAATGATAACAAGCTAAACACACGGTATGTGTCTGAGGCCTGCCCACAAGTTCCTTTCTCTTCTCTCCAGCAAATGCCATCTGAGCTTTTGGGCCTCTCTCCTTCTAGAGCCCAGAGAGCCTTTGCCAACCATCCTTATGTAAATGGAAAATTTATGCACACACCCCCATGCATGTGCAGTCATCCCTTCTGCTTGCTGACATACTCTATGTTAGACATCTCAGTTTTTCCAGTCAAGGTCTCTGTTTCCAAATGCAAACTTTTCTGGACAAATTTTGAGGGCTCTTGTATCTATCTGTTAAATCCAGGGCTAACAAAGTGAAGCTTGACACCGTCTTGTGCCATTCTCCTAAGTGCTGTAAGTCCACTGATTTAAGGAACTGCCTCCCAAATGGAACTCCCATTACTGTTCTCCCTTAGGATGGTAGCATAGGGACTGTGTCCATGCTCTGCAACTTAATCTCCTTTCAAACAAAATTGTGCCTTAGCACAAAAGAAACAGGAAGCTTTAATTAAATCTCACTACCCCGCTTTCCATCTCATCACCTGACATCGTTGTCAGAGTGGGCTAACTCTGTTAAGAAGTTATCTATTTGATATCTCTTCCACCATGATGCACGACATTTTACTCACATAAACTGAGCCAAGCAACTGCTACCAGAGCTTATTCCCACAGCATACTCCTCAGAGGGGCATGGGCTCCCCATCTGTTGAAAAGCAGCTGCAGGAACCAGAGATTTCATAGAGCACTGAAGGTGGCCAGGAGATCCCATATGAAGATCTACAACAAAAACCCCAGGGACATATGAACTGCCTCAGAGGTGCTGGAACGTGTTGACTGTGTAAGAGCCTGGGCTGGAGGGAGCAGCACTAAGCTTTATCTGCCTTCCGCTTGGCTTCCATATGAAATCTGCAGCAGCCATGCAGAAATCAGGGAGGTGTGACTAACACAAACTTACACCCATGTGTGATCATAGTTTCTCATCAGTCCTGCCCAAACTTCAGCTAAAGGCACAGTGTAAATAGGAGGATGATAATTATAGCAGCCAAATGGCTTTGACAGTCCACTTAATCTCATTTTAGGTGCCTAATTAGTATCCCTTGAAGATCTGTGATCTACTTGTCACATGGATTAAAAGGCAAGCAACTGATAAAAAATAACTCTGTGGAAAGTTCTTTTTCTGACTATTTCTGACACAGATCCAGCAGACATCTGTTCTTGGTGCACTGCTCCAAAGTAAAGTAGCCAAAGATCTAGGTAGGAGATGCTGCTTCTTGTGAATTTTACAGCTGATGGAAGCACAAGTGGACTGGTACCTACGCAAACACACCGTATTGTGCCACACTTCCCACACACGGAGGATGCACCACTGTCAGCAATTTTTGGAGAATGGGGACTCACTGAAATGCATAAGAATGATTCAGTGGAACCACTGCTGCCCACAGGCCAGCCATGGGAGTGGGTGTTCCTCTCTGTGCAGCTCTAAATTGGGAGAGAATCATGGATGGGCTCTCCAGTACAGACAGACCAACCCATTTGTAATAACAGTACAATGGTGGTGGGATTATGAACAGAAACTGTGTCCCTCCACTCTGAGAAGAAATTGGCAATTAAAGAGTTTTTAAAGAATGATTTTTACAACACCCTACCTGAGAGGTGGTGTATCCAGCTCACCCTGCTTCTCCTGAGCTCTCTTCTCCCCGCGAAGAGAACACTTGAACACTTATCCACAGCATGCAAATACCTGGCGAGGGCAAGTTTCTTACTGTGTATGGCAGCAGGTGAGCCAGAGTATTTATTCCACTTCACCTCGACCAAAAGGAAATCTTCCTCTTTCCTCCTGTGAGAGGGTTGGAGTTAGTTTCACTACTTAAAAAAAAAAAAAAAAAAAAAAAAAAAAAAAAAAAAAGAAAAAAAAAAAAAGGGAAAAAAGGAAAATAAATAATAAAAATAAAAAAGAAGAAAACAATTTAGGGTCAGTTTCAAATGGAAAGCTCCTCATGAAACAAGAAAGCAAAGGAATTCCTTTGGAAAATGTCAAAATGTGTTGTTTCTGCTTTCAGGAACTTTTACTCCCCTCTTTTCAATTAAGGCCATTTGTCAGTTTGGATCAAATTCAAAAAGTAATTTAGTTTGCCACCAAAGCACACCTTTACAATCCGAAGCGTGCATCTGGAAACTCCAGCTGTTGACCCTGCTTGTCTGGCATCACAACGCTCCTGTGTGCAGTGAGGGGGGTTGTTTATGAGCATCACTCTATGCAAAAATGAATGGACAAGTTCCGACTGTGGTCCAGGATTACCTTTACCAAACCCATCTGCTTCAGCTAGAGCAGATCTTTCAGAAAAAGGCTGCATAATTAAATTACTGATGAACTAGTAACAAGATCCAAAGTCTGAGTGTTTGCTGACAGACTTCTGTTTCAAAAACGTAAGAAATCCTTAAGTAAATAGTGCAGAGCTGTCATCAGAGTCGAAGATGTGCAGCTTTGAAAGTTAGGAGGAGTTGTTTTGTTTGTGTGCAAAGGCTGTAACAAGTCCCTTAAGCATCAAGTGCCAGAGCCAAATCTGAAGGTGAAGGTCCCACCAACACTGGCTCTGGTCTTTGACATGGTGAATTCCCTCCAAATATGCCAGGCTACAGATCCCCCACTTGATCTCACAGGACAGGACTGTGAATATGCTGGAAGCATGCACGCAACTGTCCAGAGGTTCCTGGGCAGGGTTTGCATCCAGCTGGGTCCCAGGGCTGTCTCTGACACCCTTTTTTTCTGTGGTGGCTGGTGTCCAAGACTCACACTCACTGTAGACACATGAAGTTAAAACCCCTGTCTCCAGGATCCTTTATGAAGTCTGTCGAGCTGAGGGCATGGATACCAATAGCTGGTCATTCCCTACATGCAGCCTTTCCCTTGTGGTCAGAGAAMTGGAAAGATGCTCTGCTCCAGTGAACACAGTTTACCAGCAGTACCAGACTCATTACTAGGATCTAATCCATCCCCAGAAAAAAAAAGTAAATCCATTTTTCTTTGATGGCAGAATYACAGGCATGTTATGAACAGCCTCCAGTGAGTGTTGCTGAAATTAAAAAAGAAGGTAAGTGGAAAGGACATGACAATCAGTAGCTTTTTGAAATAAAACAGAGAGAAGGAATAGCCCTGTTTCCCTGCTAAAGCCTTGTTTCACTTTTAATTTGGTATATCCAGATCCTGATGACATTCGGGATTAATTATTTATACAACTCTTAAGAGGCTGAGCTGTGAGATGAGACACCTCTGTCCAGGTTACACAGATTAGAAAGGTGGAACAAGCACTGGGCACAAGCAGCTGGAAACACAGGAGCAAGATAGCTTTGCTCATATGGTAAGTCTAAATAATYGTCTGCTGGTTTTCACAGGTACTTCAGAAAGGAAAGCTTTAAAGACAAAATTTAGGAGAAATTTAAGGAGAAGATTGAGGAGCAGAGTGATAATCCGTGAATAAATCATTGAGAAAGGGAAATTGTGTTTTGCCAGTGGAATGGATGGAGATATCAAAAATGTTTGTWTCTTCCTACCAAATGTAACTCCTACCAGGAAACCTTATTTCAGGTTAATGCAGTCAGACATTTTAGAGTCTGTACAGGAAAACTATGTTCACAGTTGTGGGCATGTCTGTGGGAAGATCCTGCAAGGTTGGCTGGTTGCTTTTAAGGGGTAGGACTTTAATTTTATACCTTGTGAAAATCACGAATCTGATTGAAGCCAAAATTCACAGATGGGAGGGAGAAAGACAGCAGTCTGCTCTTGAGGGAGGATTATTCTGTCACACAGGACACAATAGAGACCTCTTCTTTTACCACTTTAACAAGTTTTGCTTCATGCTGGCATTCCTGCTTCAGAAAGGCACTGTCATGGGAAACGGATTCTGCCTGGAGACCAGACATTGTTCAGGATATCCCTTCCACCTCYGCGTGCTATTCAGCATTAACGCAGCCGTAAGCAAAGCTCTGAGACTATTGAAATTTCTTTCTTCATCTCCCCCTTTCTCTTTGACAAATGTGTGACAAGGATGCAATTGTTTGAAAGCCCAGTGATGGAGAAAACAGAGAGCGAAGCCTTCAGACGTGCCTCAGTGATTTAGAAGCCTTCCCCCAAGACTTGTGAAAAAGGTCACGGGAGGTCTTCCATAGGGTTCAGCTTCCCAGCAGGACTCTAGATGCCAATGTAAAGGCACTTAAATTCCTTTAACAGCTGACCCCTTTGTGGATGTTCCCACCTAGGATTATCCTGGCTCTAGGGCTGAAGAATAGCCCTTAGCCAACTAATGGATCACAGGCCCTTCCCTTTGAATATCTGCAGTTTGTGTTGGGTAATCGCCCATCCAGCCAGCAGGAAGTTGTTTCTTCATTAAAATGACAAAAGCTTTTGAAAGAGGAAGATAAGAGTTCTTCTGATGAATCACAGCAGGGCTGGTTTGGGAAATATTGTTTCATGCTACCCAGAAGTTACTCAGCAGCTTGCTGGTAATGTAGCCTGAGCACAGTGGAGAAGCTCAGGCATTGATCTGTGYGTACATTCCCCTGACAAAGCCCAGCCCAGCCCCAAACCAGGCCTTTTCCCCTGCAGCTGCTGGGCACATGCTGCCTGAGGTGCTCTTGGTGTGAGCAGACTTGTGGACCCAGCTTCCACAGGGTGATGGAGAAGCCTGGAAACACGTCCACAGGGGAAACTTGCACTCTGTCACAYGGACACCAGCCCCCTCCCCGGGTACTCCTGCTCTGCCTCCTAAACAAAGAGCATRCTCCTTCCTAAACACAGCACTCCTAAAGCTTTGCACTCCTAAATTCTGTGCACTGGGCCCTCCRTGCCAGCCCCTTCTGTGCCCGCGGGCAGCCCTGGGCATTCCCACCTTCCCCCGCTTTACAGAGCAATTCTTGCTCCTCCAGGCTACACCTTGCCCTCTTAGTGGGAGGGCATGAGGAGGTGGTGTCAGACCCCTTTCCATTAAGGCTAAGCTATTTAAAGATCAGTGGGCCAGAAAGAGAGACCAAGGGTCAGCATCACTGCTCAGAGCAGTATTTACATATTTCATGCTCTGGCGGTTTCATTCACAGAACTCCAGAAGTCCTTGGAGCAGGAGAGGCACAATGGACCTCTCCTGGCCTGCCAGGAGACCCCCTCTGAGCTCTGTGCTATTTGGACTATGACTGGAGGTGCTGCCAGAAAGARCCAGGAGCTCTTCCAGCACACAGCACAGCCCAGAGTGGGGTGGTCTGGCTCCTCTGCAGTGGACTTTAGCTCTGCCTGTCTGAGCAGCAGACATATCCCAAATCCTTTACAAATCTTTAAACCAAACCTCCTATTCTGACTCAGAATAAAATCAGAAAGAAAGGTCTGCCTTTCTGCTGCCTCTCTCCTTAAGTGACCTCTCCTCAAAGCCCTCTAGGCTTCCAAAACAAACAAACAAAAAAAAAAAATCAAAGAAATGGAATACGATGAAAACATTAAAAAATGGAGAAGAACCTCAGGCACCATTCAAGAAAGTACTGTGTCTTTCTCCGGCACGGTGCCATCTATGCTCAATGCCTAGAAGGCTGGGAAAGGTTCTGGGAGAACAGTCCTCTGCACRGGAACATTTTAAGGGCCTGAGTGGTAATGAGTCAGTGCTGAGGTTTGGATTCAGATGTTTCCTACCTAGTAGGTGCCCAATGTGCCAGACCTTCTTGCGGTAGGACAAGGGAAACCATTGTCCCTGGTTCAGAGAAAAGACAGGAGCTGAGTAGAAGGAATATGTGCTCAGGATAATGTCAGGAAYTGGCTGAGGGTCTGGAGTGAGAACTTACTGGTTTCAGGCACTTTGGGATGTAAAATGTGGGAGATGGAAAACTGTTCGTCCCAATCCCAYAGCCATTGCTGCTTTTTTGGTTTGCAAGGGAGGGAAGGGAGGGCAAAAAGAGAAAGTGATGCCACAGTTTTRCTGCAGAACCATTTCTTAATGGTAAAGGAATGAGGGCAGAGCAAAAGAACCATGATCTGCCCTCTAAGATCTGTCTGAGGCCTTTGGGGACCATCCTGTTCAATTGCCTCAGCCTCTCTGTGGCTGTGCCCCCAACCTTATCAGGCTTTGTCCTGATGAGGACACATCAGTGTGAGTCAAACTCTGCTTCCCTTTGTTGGCATTGCTTGGCGTGGGGCCACGGATATAAGGGGGCAGCTCAGTCCAGCTGTTCCCTGTCACCAGCAGGTCCCAGGGCCACCTGTGATAGCTGGCACTCCAAATTCATAGAATCACAGAAGGGGTCACACTGGAAGAGATCACAGTGGCTCGTATGGTCCAACCTCCYTGCTCAAGCAGGGCCATCCCGGAGAGCATGGCCATGTGCAGCTGCTGTTGTATTTATAGGAAGGGAGAACCACACACTCTTCCTTCCATCTATCCATACAGAAATGGCACTCCCTGAGTCTGCTGTGGCTTTTCTGTGGTGCCCTCAGAGCTTCCTTCCTTTCCCTTCCTACTTCCTTCTGCAGGCTCACATGCCCCCAGGTCTTTGTATTGCAAAAGGACTGGAGGTGGGCTCGCACAAATCATGAGCTGAATGTGCAGCTTTCCATCTCACAGGGTCTCCAGACCACTAGCTGGGACTGCCTTGGTATTTTGCTGCCCAGGCAAGAGCTGGGTAGCTGAGAGATCTCATCTGACTGCATCAAGTGGGAGTACAAGGAACCTCTGAGCTTTAGGGTCCCAGCACATTTAACACTGGACTGGCCCCCGAGTCTCTGCATCATGCAGCAGGACAAACTATCTGCTGAGTTACCCCCAGACAAAGCTGGGTCCTGCCAGGAACATGCTGAACTGCCCAAAAGGGGAGAGGATCTCCAGTGGGGTCTGGCAGCCCCTCCAGACAGGGAGAAAGAAAAACCCCCAAAGCGGCAATTGCCAGAAAAGATTGCCTTGTAGCTGCATGAGACCAAATGCCTTCACCTCATGCACACACACAGCTCTTGCCCCTACAAGGAGGTTGAGCAATACCCTGGCAGGAATTTGATCAGGAGTTCAGTTTCAGTTACCAAATACAGGTTGCATCGGGCCAGCGTGTGGGTGCAAACCCTCTTTACGCTCCGTTTGTCCTCGTTCTGGCGCTGACCCCGCTGTGAGCTCATCGGAAAACAGCTTTGTGCACAGCGGCCGCACGAGATACGCTTCCCTCCACACCCAGCCACGGCCCTGGAGGCTCAGGCAGTGCCGAAACATCCCTCACTCTCTGGAGGGGTGAGGCAGCACCATCTGACTGCCATGCCAGCCGTGTGACACCTGGTGCTAGAGGAAGGCTTGGGACCATATAGCCAGCTATGCTCAGTCTCTGGAGCTAGCACTGTGAGGAGGGGCTGAACTCCGTGTTGGAACCAGTTTGGATGTGCATTGTATGTGGACCAAGTTTTACTCTGGACTTGCCAGCTGGCTTTAAAACAGCAACACAAACTAACTTGGCTTTCCTGGACACAGTGACACCCTCTTTGCCCAAGGAGTGTCATAGAAAAGGACAGACAGCGGCACACACCTCTTGATGCCACACTGAGAAGGGCACTAGTGGCTCCAGAGCTAGGTCAGCATCTGCACTGACCCCTGTGCCAAGCAGCTGGGTATCAGAAGGAGGGGAGAGAACCCTGAAGCCCCAGAGTGTTGAAGTGAAAGCCCATTTCCCCATAAGCACTGTAGTGGCTCACTCTGTAGTGGCAGAGAGCCTTRGTGCCACACCAACTGGCAAAATGTACCATGAGTCGAGTCCAAGGCTGCCAACAGTGCCCTCACTCTTGGGGGAAGCTGCTTCCACTCCAGCATGCAAGGCCACTGCTCTGCTCCGGCTCCTCTGGAGTCAGAATGCCAGAAAGCATCCCCCACCATCCCCAGCCTCACACTCAGGGGCTATGGTGCTGTGGGGGCTGCCACAACCCACCCTGTTTTTCAGGCTGTAGCAGACCCAGGGTTTCAGGTTGCACCGGGAGGACATTCCTCCGGCACCACATTCCTTGCAGGGCTAATCCTCGGGAGAATGCGCCGGCATGCACAGCAGCCCCAGGCAGCACCAGCATGGCCAGAGGCGCAGCTGAGCCCCTGGCCTTGCCTGGCCCTGGCCCCAGCTTGTGGCTCCAGCAAGCCTTGTTGTGTTTGCAGCTGCCAGAGACCTTTGAGCAGCTCAGATATGCCCACAGCAAAGTCCAAAGTGCAGAAGGACACAAACTGTCGCTGCCACAGCCCTGCCACAGGGACTCCAGCATTTCACTGCCTGCCAGGCATGAGCACCAAGTGGTCTAGCAGGTCTGAGCTGGTCTATCCATAAAGGTCAGCTGGTTTTCTCCCTTCCTGGATAGTACTGAAAGCCTGCTACGCTTCTACCAATGTTCTGGGCATTTCAGAAATATCTGCATTTAAAACTTAGTCTTTATCCTCATCTAAGCATAACTTTCCTGCAAGTGTCATATCTCTTCTAACAAGAGGCTGGGATGGAAAAGTGTCCTCTGTGACTCCCTGATGCTTTAGCCGTTACATCTTTAACTTACAATGTGCAATGTTTTAAATAATAATGGGAAAATTACCTTCTTTAATCCACACTCTGGAGGTGAATTCTCTTGAGCTACTGGTCTGCAATCTGTCAAATGTGTCTGCAAAGATATCAGGTGAAGAAAGCAAGCTAAAGTAGTTTAAAGACTTGTGAAAGGATGCAGGGGAAAATTATGTCTACTACATTTCCAAGAAATCCAGCCATCCTATCCCAGGCCCAGATATTTAGGTTGGGGTTGCGCTTTCACCACAACCACTCCACTGTCCTTGCTAGAGAAACCTGGTTGAAAATGACCTTAAACCTTTGTCAAAATTCCAGTGCTTCTCTGTTTGGACTTGGCCAGCATAAACCCAGCTAAAAAACGCAGAAAATATTTCAAAGTCAAACTTTAAAGGGACAGCCATTGCTTTATTTGTGTTTAATTAAAAATAATAATGAAATAATAGTAATTGTTTTCCAGACCCATGGTAATTAGCAATCCACCCTACAGCTCCCATGGGAAAGAGCCTCAGTTTCTGGAACTAGTGTGCTTGAATATTGACTTGTTCTACACAAAGGTTTTGAGTACAGCAATTTGTTGGGAGGGGGTTTCCAACTTTGGCTTTGTAGCACTTAAACTGTCATGCTCCAAACCACACTGTTTTACTACTGCCTCCATTTCCCTTTGTTTTACCTCAGCTTCTCATCTTGCTCTGCAAATCCCATGCCAGAATGAGTCATTCCTGCAGGATTAGCTCTGATTTTTCAACTCCTCTCTCAGTGTTGCCCGGACTAGTTCTGAGGAGAAAAAAATGGACACGCCCCATTCAGGATGTGTAAGAAGTGACTGAAAGAAATTACCTCCATTGCTCAGCTATTTGCTCTGAACCAGCAAGAACCACCCCATCTTCCCAACACAGCTGAGCCCTCGGCATGGCTCGGGGTTGCTGACAGCAGTTTCAGCCAAGGGGGTGCACCAGTGCCCCCCTCTCTTGGGTTATTCCCTCACTTACTGGAAGCAGATCTTAGCTCACCCCTGCCCTCAGACCTTTTCTTATGTTTGTCTAACTAAACACTYCTTACAGGAAGAAATAGTATTTAAAAAAAATCATTTTCACGTGTAATTTCGCACCTCTCCCTTGGTCTGTTTTTTGAAGTAATAAAGGCACGGTTGTGGTTTAACCCCAGCCAGCRACTGAGTGCCCCACAGCTGCTCACTCGCTCCCCCCGGTGGGATAGGGGGGAGACTTGGAAGAGCACAAACAAGAAAACTGAGGTGGAGATTCTTTAATAGGTAAAGCAAAAACCACACACACAAACAAATCAAAACRAGGAATTCRTTCACCGCTTCCCACGGGCAGGCAGGTGTTCAGCCATCTCCAGGAGAGCAGGGTCCCCTCAGGCCTCCCCCTTGTGATTTGGGCAAACAAACGCCATCAATCCGACCCTCCCCCACACATCCTCCTTCCTCCCCCAGCTTTTTGCTGAGCTGACACCATATGCTGTGCGGTATCTCCTGGGTCAGTAGGGATCAGATAACCAGGCCATGTCCCTTCCCAACTCTGTGCACCCCTAGCCCCCTCTATGGTCCTGTGRGTGAGAAACAGCAAAGGCTTTGGCTCTGCAACCCTGCTCAGCAGCAACAAAAGCATTCCTGTGTTACCAACACTTATTTCAGTACACATCCAAAACACAGCCCCGTACTAGCCGCCGTCGAAAAAAWCTAACTCGATCCCAGCCAAAACCAGGCAGCTCTTACACAGCAAATATTGCATTATCTCACAGCAGGGAAAAGGGGTGGGAATCTCAAACGTCTCAAAATGATGCCACTCTGCTTCCCTTTCCAGGTCCAAAACATGAAGTGATCCTGGAAGTGATTGCTAAATCACTTGGAAGATCTGTTTTCTGATAATGGTCCGGCATGGTCGGCAAATCTGCGATTTGCATATGAATGCCCAGACTGCATAAGCAAAACTATCAGAGGCAGCTGGAAGARGGAAAATCTGAGCACCTGGCATTTTGGTAAGTGCTTTTGCCTGTGTTCTCAGGTCACTTTCCTGCATCGTTCACAGGACTTGAGCCGATTTGACAGAAACTGCTAGAAATCATGTTTCTACCACAGGAACAGAGAGAACTCCAGAAATGACAAGGTTTATGGTCCAGCAAAAACTTAAAACCTGGTTATATCCCAAGTTATATCAGCTTGCTCAGGGCCCCGATCAGTCAAGTTTTAAAAAGCCCGACAGACAGAGATCCTATCATCTMTTTGGGACCCCTGTCCCATGGTACAGGCTTCACAAAAGAAATAGGAGCTGGTAAAAAGAACATGTAAGACCAGACTGTCCAAAATCAAAAAGTGATTTCTAAAATTTTTGCTGTCCCCGGAAATACATGTAAGTGCACTGTGTCTTACTATTAGTAGCACAAAACTTAAAAACACTTATTTCTCTCCAGATCACCAGGACCTACACACTTTTGGTCAGAGGCAGTGCCTCAGGCAAACGCTGGGCAGATGCTTATCTAGTGTAAATCCCCTCTGATCTGTTAACTGCAGCAGGATGCCAGCTATTCACGGCCTTTTCAGTCTTGTAAAAAAAACAAAAAAAAAACCCTTGGAATTTGAGAAATAACCCATTTTCTCATCTGGGGAGAGACATTTTTGCTACAGGCTCAAGCAAAACTCCAGCAGATTTCGGAAGGTACTTGTAAATAGGGCATTACTTGGTAATTACCATGGTGATTGCTAAAGGGTCAGAGAGAGGCAATGAGAACAAAGGGGCCTAGGGAAAAAAAAACAGGGGCTCTTTGTAAAAGAATTCGGATTTTGTCTGCCTGTGCCAATAAGCTCAAACTATCCCCACTTTACACTTTGTTTTTTAAATAAAGACTATTTACATCCCTCGGGCATGGAATTACAGCAGGATAGCTGGGTCCTACCGATCCCCCATCAGCATCAAGCCGACAGCTGAATGCATTCGTGGCAGCAGCACTCACAACTCACCCCACTGCCAGGCGCGGTTTAACATCCAGCTGTGCCCTGCACGCTGCTCAGGCACATGCACGCACAGAAAACCGCACTTTTGGAGCCTTTTTAAGTGCAGTTTTTCATTCCTCGATCAGTGCTTGACACACTCCCCAGCCAGGGCATCCCCCTGGCTGTGCCCAAGGCCAGGAAGGAGCCCAGAGAGGCTCAGCTTTAACTGGGAGCTACTTTCAAGCTGGGGGTTTTGCCTCCAGCCTTAAGGCCACACCGTGGCTGTGCCTGTGGAATCCCTTCCTGCAATCCCTGATGCAGGCTCTGACCCGATGTCTTGCTCCCTAGCTCTGCCTCTGACTGGCCTTGTCACTGAGGCCTTCCCCAGAAAACCTCGAAGAGTCAGAAACTTGGCAACACAAAAGGGCTGGGTGCCTCCCTACTGAAACAGCTTATTTTTGTTAATCGAGTCACGCGAAGCGTGCTAAAAGCTGCAGTTTCCAGGGAAGTAAGGGCTACAACTGCTTTGTTTAATAATGCTCAGTAATACAGTTTAAACGGTGGTTTTCCTTGGTTTAAAGAAAAAAAATAAGGATGGAAATAACCTTTTTGTGGGCTGTGTAGACCAGTCCTAGAAAGCTGTAACATTCCTTTTCATGGTTTTTTTTTTGCATCTACGAAAGTGATGCAGGGAGCCTTTGATTCCAGACCAAGACCCAGAGGAGAAGAGACTTAGGTGAACTTTTTCTGTCTACCCATACAGGATTCTCCACAAAACAAACCTCCCAACTAGTGTCCCAGCAAAGGCTCTTCCTATTCTTCCAGCTCCATCCCCAGCCCTTCCTCTCCACATTCCCTGCTTTTCCACAGCACTTCTCCTTCTCTTTCCCCTCCTTCCTGTGTTTCCAATCTTACCCCACTGCTCCCATCTACTGGCTCCCCCAACACCTTGGCTCTCCTCTGTCTCCCTCCTTGGCTGATTACTGGCTGTGACCACAGGGAAAGTGCTCTGCAAGGACCACAGTGCAGAGCACGTCTCAGGACAGGAAATTGGTTAGTAAATTATAGCACAACTCCACTGCAATTTGTTAGAGACTTTTAATACTTGTATTTGATGGAAACAACAAGAACACTGCCAACAAAGAGCAGCAAGATATTTCTCTCACCTGCATCGGGAAATTAACTTTTTAACTCTACACTCTGGCCAAAATGAGCAGTCCCCTCTCCATCCCATGCTTAATCATGCGTTAGAAAAAGCCAGTGTCCAGGACAATGTGGTTGTGTCTGCAACAAAGAAAAAAGAAAACAAAAAAATACTTCTTTCCACACAGCTTATTGAAGCAAAGCAGGATATTTGCAAATATATTTTGTTCACAATATAGCAGTTAATTAAATAATTACACTTAAACAACCAGCTTCCAAAACAAGCAATAAATAATTGCCTCTAAATTGGTGTATCCTATCATTTTCTATCAAGCATCAGGTTTCGCTAATAGCTGCAAAGAGGCTTGAATTACTACTCTGGCAAATACAAATTGGTCTTAAAAGATTTTGTCATCAGGTGACACTTCCTGTCTACAAGCCTCAGGGTCTTTCTGACCCTGTGGGCCCTTTGTAGGAGCTTCTGTCAGATGCCAGTGATTTCTGTTGTGAGCCAGCAGGGCAGACAGGTCCCAGCAGGGCACCTGGGAAATAYTGAGCAGGAGATGTTCACCCTGCCAGAGATTAAACCTCTCAAAACTGCTGAATGACTGCCCAAATAGGGCATTTGGTAGGCAAAACAGAACAAACTTACTTCCATGCCAACAGTGTCTGACGGCTATTCAAAGATACCCACCTGGAAGATTTTCATGAGGTGCTGAAATTTACAGGCTTCAAGGGAGTAAGAGCCATGCAAACTTTGTAACACCTGCACACCAAAAAAAAAAAAAAAAAAAAAAAAAAA